GAAGATGATAAGAAGATGGAGGCAGTCTCCTCTGAGATGTGCAGTGGAGGGAAGAGAAGCAGCAGAGAGTCTGAAACAAGAAAATTCTGATCAGATACCAGGAAAAAAAATTGGCCTATGAAGATAGCAAGGAGTGCAACAGTTTGCCCCAAGAATTAACAGAATCTCCGACTTTGGAAGTATTCAAAACTCAGTGGGGTATGACCCTGACTAGGCTGATCTACCCTCAGAGTTGGATCTAACTTGGAAGATGATTTTGCTTTGAGTAAGGGTTTAGATCAGATGACCTCCAAGGGTTCCTTGCAACCCAGATTATTTGATGGTGTTATGATCTGATTACTGTTTGTGACAGAGTTCTAGAAAATTACTTCCAGATTTTTGTGGATATAAAAAACACCAGTGGTGTTAGAGAGGTTACAATATTAAAATAGTACTTGCTAGAGTTGTATTTCAGGACTTCTTAGTATAAATTTCCATCACCAAAGACTTAAAATTAATTTTGGTTAAATATTTTTCTATACTGAGTCTTGTTACAGTACATGTGGTTGCAAAGCCAGTGTTTTCTTTAGTACCATTTAGCAAATTTAGATGGTTGAATTTAAGAAAAATAAAGCAATTGATTTATTAATTTATTAGCAGCTTCTCCTAAAGTCCTACATAACAACTGATTTCCACTAGAAGGATTGTTGGGTATACGCGGACTGGAAACCTTGGCAGGATGGACAATTCTACTTAGGTAATTCTACCTCAGTTTATAGTAATGAAACATTTCCCTGAGAGACCACTGCTTTGCCCAGACTTCTTGCTAACCTCGAGTGAAGAAGGGTAAACCTCAAGTTATCTAAGAACAATATAAACCTGGAATACTTTTATCAGGTATTTGAGATTTTGAGGTTTTCATGTGCTGCAGCTGCTTTGCAAATAAACAAATAGATACTTGTTTACAGCACCTATCTGTCTGGAATAATCTCTTTAAATAGGTCAAGATCATAGTTTATTGCACAAAGTCAACCACGTTGTTGAGCAAAGATTGCAAAATAAGGCATCAGTTCAGTATGGGAGAGAGAATCCACCGGGGACAAATGTAAAATAAATTTTATTGCATAGCCTTATTCTTCTATTTTTAATGGTTGTGTGTTATCACTGCTTGACTTGATACACAGTTACAGGAATTAGATATGTTCTAAATTACACAAATGAGATTTGGAAGAGTTTTGTGTTTGTT